TCACACACCCTTACACAGCTATACTTGTGGGATATTTCCTTTGTTCTCATGTACAAAACTCCCACACAACACACAAAAAATTTCAAATCACTCCAATTTAAACCAAATTCACTTTCCTGGGTTGAAATTTCGACAATATGATACATTGAGTTTGATATGTAGGAGCCTGATTAAATTGTTAATAAAAAATCTTTGCATAAAGAGGCTTGAATAACTCATTGACACTTTGTTGACGCTCGTTGACGCTCGTTGACACTTGTTGATGCCAAATAGCATGACCCTAGCATTGAACTGTAATTTTACTATGATCCAGTCATGTCACTCATGGATCAATGTTATAGGCTTATTTTTTTTTTGTATTTTTTTTGTATGGCTGGCAGGTGGAATTGAACCAATGGCCATGTATCATGACCATACACATTTCAGCTTTATCCCTCATTGGAACAAGTCATTATTACTAAATAATAAGCCTCTCTGTTTGTAGCACTAAACAGCTGAAGAAATTGCCACTCAAGCATTGTTGCCATGGCAACCTCAAGGAGCATCGTAGCGAGCTGCAGGGCTGGGTGGGAGACGGTGTGCCATCACGTCAGCAAGGCCGTGGTGTTCGTTGACAGCCCCATGGCCGAGTGCCTACACTGGTGTATCGGAGCCGGAATGCTTCTGCGTGCCGGGGCTATCGACATCAAGGAGTTTTCCTCATTTGAGGTGGGAATGAAGGAGTTATAGTTTGTTCCGCATCCCCCACTGAGCTTTTTACCAAAATTGACTAACGGCCAGTCTAAGAACTCTTTGACTACCATCTCTGCACGTATGTCCCTTTCCTGCCATGTGATTTTTAAAACATTGAAGGAGGCAGATTGGGATATTAACTTACCAGTGTATGAGTAATGATTATTTTCCTTTTTTTTTACCAGAGTGCAACACCAGAAGAGAGGAAAGCTGTGTTTATTGTCAGCGGTTTGTTGGCCGACACTGTTGAGGAAATCATCAAGGTATGGTATTGATAATGAAAACTTTGTATGAAATGGATTTGCCATTGTCATTCAA